GATAACAACATCCCTTAACGATGCATTAATCAGAAGGTGAATACGAAGTGTTGATTACATTTATTATTACACTACAACGTACAGATCACCAAAATTACAGATACGCTAAACAAGCATGAATGAGTAGTGTCGATAAGCAAGGGTGAGAGTTTACGAGTCAAAATGAAGAGAATTAAAATGCACATATATATATACATAGTGAAATGAAATATTGAATCGATTAAGCGAATAACATTAAAGCTAACAGAATGAATATATGCGTAGACAGTAAGCAATGCTCAAGCATATATATTTATACAAAGTGAAAATATTAATTAAGGATTTCTTTGCTAATCCCATCCACTAAATTACTGATAAGTCTTGATAATTAAACGCTATATTCCGTTCCTACGCTATTCTCGTAAACCTCAAAGCTAGAACTACATCAGCGACCTGAACATGAGAGAAAAGGTGCGAAATACGCGAGAAGCACTTTACTCCAAACGTTCGTTCTAGTACAGAAAATATAGGATTTTTATAGTATTTTAGATGTCGTTGGGTTTCCCGAAAATTCTGAAATGCTACTAAACATAGTAGCAGCATAAGTAATCAGCCAATCGGAAACTCTACATGTGGCTTTTCATTTTCTTGATGTTTCTGGCAAAACTTCTGGTGAACGCCTTTATTGGCTTTTATGAGAAGTTTTCTGGATCACCCCAACAATTACATAAGATCTTTGACCGTTAGTAGTTTTACTTGTTGACTTCGGCGAATTACCAACAATTATAACTAGTGATGAGTTTCTCTTTAACTTAATAGATTCTAAATTATATTAAGAAGATGAATACTCTAATTTCTATCCTTTCTTATTGAGAAGGAAATAAAAAGCGTTCTGTATAATAAACTATACTAGGCTAGTAGTACTTCATGGTTAGCGTTTATTTAACGAGTTAGTTTTCTACGGGATAGGGTCGCTAACCCCATGCCTAACTCTCTTCCTTTAGCCCGGCTTGGGACCGGCAGTAACTCTAGAAGAGCTACACACTATATATTGTGTTATTTAATTACATGATATATACGATCAATAAATAATCCGGTTATTCAACTGAGAACCAGGTTAAATATTGATGAATGAACTTAAAACTGGAATGAATTTTACACTGGAATACAGCCTTTTACATTTAGATTGTATTCGAATATATCTGTCTTCACTCCTTGACATGTCTCAGGTCATTTTGATGGGATGTAAAGATGCTTCTTCATAGTTCTATTTGTTAATAATGTACTACTTATTTTGTGAATTACTGGGATATTATTTAAAGAAAAAAGTACTTTTGTTCTTGTTTTTCTACTCTCCGATTTTTTCACAAAACATTCACTGAACATGTCGCTATTCACGATTTATGTGTGTTTTTTGGTGTTAGGATTCATCAATTATTTTATTAATGATGCACTCTTATTTACTGCACTGCATGTTGACAATTTTCACGAGCCATAGCTTTTGCTACAGCATATCAAGGGTGATAATTTATGTTTAAAAATTTATACTACCTAAAACAAATTAAGTAACAAAGTGGTGAATTATTCAATTACATCTCTAGATTAATATCAGAAGGGGTTTTTTGTGGATATTATAGTAATTTTAATAGTTCAAATCATGAGTCAATTGAAACTAGACCGCCATGGAATACCCGGAAGCATTGGAATGCCGTTTCGTCCTATCGTGGGCTGTCCAGTGTTTCTAGGTTTGCATAATGATCTAGCTTCAATTAACTCATGATCTCAACTATTGTAATTACTGCAATCTCCACAAAACCCCTTTTAATACTAATATGAAATAGTTTAATGTGTACTGTTAATCCTTGTTGTCTATCATCCACTCAATTAAAAAATCTCATTTGATGGTGTTAATGAGATCTTTAAACTCACAGTGATTACAAACACTTCTAACAATCTTATCATTTTGCAAATGTCATTTACTAAGTGCACTTATTGTTTTATTACATCACTAATCAAACCTTTAGCGCTATAGCTTCTGCATTAAACTCATATATATATTTACTTCAATACATTTTTACTTCTCATTCATTTTATATTTGTGAATAAGTTCTTCATTTCACTATGATCATTTTTAAGGATTGTACTGAAAATGCTGAAAATACTGCATGGTTTGATCAATATCCAGATTCATATTGGGAAATTGGTAATATTGGTACAATTATTCAACAACAGTACGTTATTTAAATAAAACTGTATAAGATATATGTATATGTATCTATTCATATTTGACGTACATTCTCTTTCAAGTGTATGTTCAATTAAAGTGACTTAGTATCAGAAGGAGTTTGTTGAGATTTTAGAAATTTCACAGATTGAAATTATGAGTCGATTGAAGCTAGATTACCATGGAAAACCTGGAAGCACTGGACGGCCGTTTCGTCCTAGTATGGGACTCCTTCAATTGACACATGATTTCAATCTGTGAAATTTCTAAAATCTCCACAAAACCCCTTCTGATAATAATCATCTGCTCATTAGTGACTGACTTCAAGAGATACTCCTGGGGTTCTAGTGAGAAACCGTTACCAGTGGAGTTCAACCAGGTCTGTTGTGAGATATCAACTCACTGAAGATAATGGTGTACGGTGGCATAACATCGTGGATTGGTTGGAGTTAGACATTAACACCATTGAATACCGGCTCAATACTCTATTGGTTAAGCGCTCGCGCGCCACACTGATAGGTCCTGGATCCGAATCTTGCGGGGTGCGGGATCGTGGATGAGCACTGCTGAGGAGTCCCACAATAAGACGAAACGGCCATACAGTACTTCCGGATTTTCCATTATCCTCTAGCTTCAACTGACTCATGATTTCAATCTGTAAAGTGACTCAGCTTTATTTATTCAGTCTTCTTTATTAAATCAAATAATCAATAGAGAAAAGATAAAAGCATGAACAAAATAATTGTAAGTAGCTTTGAAATAAATAAATGCAAATAATATGAATTTGTGTATTCACAATCCTGCGAGCGGGATTCGAACCCAAGGCCTTTGGTCCAGTGCTTCCAGGTTTTCAATGGTGGTCTAACATCATAATAACGGCATAATCGTTCATATACATATATAACTTTTACTTAATTTTCTTTCCTTTTTCTCTTTCTTTTTTTCTTTCTTTTTTCTTAAATCAAAGAAATACACCATTTGAATTTACTATTGGATTTCGAGCACAATTAGCTAATACTGCTATCAATGGTGAACATTTAACATTATCTAATTTAGATGAAATTAATGAAGATGTATATAGTTTATTAGTTACATTTAATTTTGGTCCAGATGATGGTAATATTTATGTGATATTATCAAATAATCAAATATTTATATATGCTGATAAAAGAAATCTATTATGGTCTAGTCCATTAATTACAATAACAGATACAACATGGCATCGTTTACAGTTAATATTTCATTCACCAATTTCAATAAAAGAACAAAATGGTCCTGATGTAGAACATGGATTACAAGTATTAGTTTCTTTTCACTTCTTTTTTGTTATTGTCGTTGTTGTTGTTGTTGTTGTTATTGTTATCATCATCATCCTCATCTCTATCATAATTCATAGTTGAATAGCATTTTCGTTCTATAATCAAACTAAGTTATTTATACTATAATGGTAAATAGAAGGTAAGTTGGAGGCAATTACCATTTCCCGTTTGCCCACATCACGGAAGGGTTCTTTTGGAGGTACCTGAAAAGGAAATTGCATTATTGGTGGTCTTAATGGCCTGAGAACGTGACCGCAGTGCCCAAGGGGCAACTGCTTGAGGTCGGTCACACACGACCTTATTATGGGCAATTTTCGTGTTAGCTCCGTACTTGTTGAGACCTTACCGCCGGAGAAGGATATCCGTGGGATAAGGCGAGGTGTGCAGTTTTACGGTCGACCTTTTCTAACCCTACCCCTCCCTGTGGGAAGGTAGTATCGCTGTTATGCTGGTTGTCTGAAGGAAACGCCTTGCTACCGTCACACCTCTGTACAGTCAGCAGTACGACTTCGGCCTCAAACCTTGGGTTTGCTGCTTTTAGTCTTACCGCTCTTCAACCGACCTGTCTGGCACGGTAGGACATTGAGGAACGACTGTCCCAGCCACTATAGCTCGATTGGTTCATCATGATAGGCAAGGCCAACCACTACGCCAAGGTAGCAACAACGCGCAATCCTGACTAGTGTTAGAGACGGCTGGAAGAAAGTTAGTAGCGGCTAAACCAAAACGTGGCTTCAGTCATTGAAGTCACTAACTTCTGGTCTGAGCCATGTTGGGTAGACGCAGACTACTTGGTTGGGATCCGCGTGACTATCGTAACCAATGTTTAGAGACTCTGAGTGGCTCAGGATGGACACAATGGCGTAGGTATATACACTTTTTGTTTTCCCTTAAACTGTGAGATTAAAACTACTTTATATCTTTCTTTCTACGAACTAATTCTTTCTATCCCTATATGCAATCCTTCTCTTATATATTACCACCATTGAATTAACTACTTTTATGAATTCGATGTTCATCTTGTTGTGTTAGTGAGGTATGGCGACTTGGACCGATACATATATGTGCGTGGTCCTACTTTGTAGCTGACCGACCGAAGTAGAAGTATTTCAAAGATAATTAGATCGTATCTTCTTTGCATTACCAAAGCAATAGCCATACATCTGAAAAAACTAGAATTGTGTGCGCAAAATAGATTGGTGCAACCTCTTCTTCTAACATGGTCTTAATGTCCAATCATTTTTTTCTCTTTCTCTTTCTTCATTCTCTTTTTTCGTTTTCTTTTTTCCTCATACTCCTTTTCCTTTACAGGCGTCTGCTTTCCTTTCCATCTTTTACCCCCCCAACTGGTTTATTTTTGTTTCCACGATCCTCCTGATTCCAATTTGTTACATCTTTGATCTGTTCACCCACTTGACGTGATAGGTTGACTAGCTTAACCTTGAGGCTAATATGCATGAGTTCAAAGTGGGGTAGAGAGAAGAATACTATTCTATCACCTAATTGGTTGACAAGCACACAAGTGAGAGAAGACAAGTTAACTGGAACACTACATGATTTATTTCCAATTCCGATCTGATTCCCTATTTCAGATCAATGTGGAAAAGATACATGAATAAATAGGTTGACTAACCCGACCACAACGTACAACAATTAGGAAAATATAATCATGTCCAAAACCGGAGATTAGCGTAGAAAATAGAATACAAATGATAACGTTTAAATTACAATACCTTTGGAACAAAAAAGACCATGGCAATGAATCATACATCAAACGAAAGCTTATGTTCTGTAGAATAGCCTAGAAACAAAAATATGTTTTACAAGTTTTAAATTAAATGAAATAACGTCCCTTGAAAATAACTTCCGTGGTTTGTCGTAGCTTCTTGTTTCTCTATTCACATCACATTTCATCTTGATTTTAACATTTTATCTTATCATGTTGAGCTATCCTTTCTCAATGATAATTTCCCTATCTATCTATTGATGAATATATAAGCGATGAACAATCAAACGATTATTAAACTTTCCTTGTTTTCCAGAAAATTCTTTTTTCAATACCTTTGTTTATTTAACCTCACGTTCACCATGTCTAACAGAAGTTTATTATCATCCTGAAAAAATAAGTATCCGTATCTACGATTGTACAGCTTTGAAAATAAATTCGCCATAAAAAGGGCGAACTCTTCACTGAACTAATCTTTCTTATTTAATGTCTTAATCAGTGTATTCCATTTACTAATGGATTTGTGATATGGATTGTTTTAGTGAATGTTAGGATATTCGGTAAAATATATTCCAATAATTATCATGTTAAGTCTAATAGTGTCCTTGGACTTTAAATGGACATTCCCTATTGGTCAATATTTATTTCACTTGTACAAATGTTGTTCTCTATTTTATGGTACGATGTGGTCTGTTTGGTTGGTATATAAACAGAGTATGTCTGAAATATAATGATTCATATCTCAGAGGCTGAGGCTTACATTCTGGACTCAACTGGTTGGGTTAGACAGGGAAGCAGGGCCAATCGGGACTCTAGGTCGTTCGTACGTGTTTTACGTGTCATTGATCCGATCGATAATACGCTGCGCATCAAATCTGCAGTCACACGTTACAACAATGAATATTGATTACTCTGAGAAATCAACAACAAAAAATCATGTTGATAAACTGTAGATAAGAAGTCTTTAACAGAGTTAGACAGTTATTCAAATGTTGTGTTTTTCTTCAGTGATAATATACTTGATTTCATTTAGTGTTTTATTTCCTATCTAAACACATCAAATACTTTAATGTCAGCTAATTTTGAAATATTCAACAATTGTTATACACTATAAAAAGTTTCTATACTTCTACCAGAGTTCAACAGAAACTGAAGTAATGCCTGAAACTTTACTCTTGATACTAAATTCATTAAGGAAATCCGAGGTTATTTTTAGACGAGAACCAACTAGAAACTATTCTAAACTACTACTAAGTATTCTCACTAACCGATTTAGTCTAGCAAAAAAAAAACAGAAAGGCGTCAGCTTCTAGGATTCACTGGACGTTGTCAAATTGTTATACTATTCATTAATATTTGGTATGTAGATATTTGAGATCAGTTAGCTATATATCTAACCATCTTGATTCTCAGCTAGTTTTATAAGATTAGACCACCCCCTAGTATAATGATAATAATAATTGGTAAGCCCAATGAAGAGTCCCACTACACACTTAAGATATACGTGGAACCAAAGTTGAAAAAACAATGATTTTATCTACAGAACAGTTCTATCATAAAGGGAATATACATAGATTGGTTAAAAACCTTAACTCGTGAGGTATCCTCGGTGAATAATGTGTCTATATTTATGGAAAAAGAAAGGCTTTTTAAATAATAACAATAATATAAAGATAAAAACGCAACATACAATAGCGTAAATCACAGTTTATAATTGGGTCTAGTATGAACAACAATTTATCAACAACCAAAATGGGAACTAAGAGCACATAGATATGGAACACAGTTAAGTTTAAATAAGGATTTAACAGATGTAAACCACTGGGAGTAACATTGACGACGTTTGAGAGAAACTAATTATCATAATAAATCTGGTAAATATAATTAGATTATGTAAATACTTGACAACTTAGGTTACATCATACGTTTAAAAATTATTATAAATACAATTGTTTACTGAATATTAATAAGTAGTATAAAACACAATACACAAAAATCAGTTGAACAACAAAAGAATAAGGAAAGAGAAGATAAATGAATTTACCAGTAATAATAACTTACATTATGTAATTCATTTGATTATATTTTGACTTATTTCTCTTGTTCATTGTTCTTTGATAGTTGTTATTTGATCATCGTCATTTTTGGCTTCCACCTATTGAAATATATAATTTACCATCGGTTGTATATATTGGAGGATTACCAAGGGTACTCAATTTACAATTACAAGCAAATGGGCAACCTGTAAGTCGATTTATCCAATTAAAGAGATGATGATATTTTTGATAAGATTTTTATATTATTTACTAATATTAAGTAGTATATTTTTCAGTAACCTTGAATTTCATATCGATACAAATTATTAAGGAACTATTTTTACTTTACTTATTTATCACTTTTTAAAATTGTACATCTTTATATTCATGAATAAAGAACGCAATTTTCGTATACAAATAAAGAAAAGGCTTGTGTCAATTTAATGGGTTCGCAATGGCGCAGGTTCATCTACACTTTGTGTTCTCCCAAATTTTAATCTTCTGAGTTCTTCATGTCCCTTTCTGTTTTCTCTTTCCATATTTATTTCACTGGATTATACTCTTTAAATAACATCTTCAAACACTAATCTTCCCGAATACTGCTTATACTCTTACTAGTTCTACCACTACAGGATTTGAATGGACAACTGGATCTCTGTGCTAATGTGGTATGGCAACTCGAACTGATGTACGTACTTACGAAGTTCTACGCTGATTGATTATTTAAGCTAGAGTTATGAGAAAATGTGACTATTTTTTTGGCTGTGAATTATCTAATTACCTTTAACTCATAGTTATCTATATACTCTCCATGATCACAAGTGTGACTTATCTAAGATTATTAAGTGTAAATTCTACAGTAAAAATGGAATCAGTGTCTTCACCTTTAAACACCATTACAAACTTGTATACTGGAATTTTGTGCATTAAAAACCTATAGAGACGGTTACTATTCTACCTGAAGTTTGTGCTGATGATGTTGTTCAGAAGAACATTGAAAGCTCCATGACCAAACCATCTAGCTCAGAGAACAAAACTCTATCAAAAAGGTTACAGTAAACCTAAAATTAGAAAATAACTTAATCCTTAATTAATGTATCTCTAAATTGATGTTTAATAGATAGTTACATTCACTTCAAACTAATTAAATAATTTACTTATTAAAAAGACAGTTGACTACTATCAATAATGGACTGGTTATTTGACTACCTATTAGATTGATTGAAATGCGATCAAAGTTTTGGATTAAAAATTCCAGTCAGTTGTTTTCTTATGTGTATTTATAAGTAGTCAGTTATCTAAAGTGAAACGAGAATTCAAATGTTAAAAAAACATATGGTAATATAACACTGTGTATGCTATGTTTGAAGCGATTACGAGTTCATCTAGTCTGAGAACGGGACGAAGACTCTGTGACCAATGACCAATAAGCTAGCTATTCTGATGAGCCCCAGGCCCCATCTAACTAGAGAGAGAGAAGTCCAAGTTCAAAACGGGGAAATATATTTCATAAGTAGCCAGAAGCACGAGCGTTACAATATAGCATACTAAAAGACACAACGAACGAATAGGGTCCAAGATTCTTCCAAGTGGAAAATACGATATGAAAGTGAAAATAGGCGCTTTTGGCGTGAAAATAAAAAAATTCAAAATCTTAAAATGAAATTACAAAAATAGGGATCTAACATCTCTAACAGTGTATAATTCATATTTATTGATTAACTCTCAATTTTAGCTAACTATCATAGTATTGTGGTGGTCGGTATTTGATATAATCCTTAAACTTCGTATACTGTTCGTCGCGATAACCGTTCTATATTACGTACCAACGGTATATTAATCAGAAGGCAAATACGAAGTTTCGATTACGTTTATTGCGAAACCACACACATATATCCAAATGTACAGACGTGTTAAACAAGCATAGAAGAGTTGTGCCGAAAGGCAAGCAAGCGAACGAGAGCCAGAGCAAGAGCGTGACGAGACCGTGCGAGCGAGTGAGCGATTGAGTGTACAATATGAATAACATGGACATATATATACCATGTGAAATGAATGAGTAATCGAATCGAATAAGCGGTTAGTGGTAAGATTAGCAGAGTGAATAAATGCGTAGGCAGTAATCAATATTCAAGCATACGTATTTCATACAAGCGCAAAATAATAATAAGGATACAATAAATTGTTATAGCGCGGATGGCTTTGTCCGCTAAATAAGTTAACAAAAAGGGCTTAACTGGGTTAAATGAGAATGAACCCATTAGCACGTGAGTCGCTATAGTATAATCCAATAGATTTAAGTAATCAGGACTCAGTAACCAAGTGGATAACACGGTGACGTTTGAAGTTAAACGGTATCGTGTACAAGCCCCAGAGAAAATCTCAACTTGGAGGCGCAGCTAAATCTCGCCGATGAGTCCCAAATAGGATGAAACACGCGTTAAACTAGATTCCACTGCCAACCACTATATGCTTGTCTTATGATACATTGACAAATGATGTTTCCTAATGAATTATCAATTAGATTGAAACATGACATAATGAGCTAAGAATGAGTTTAACTAAGCAATTCTAAATCAAGATGATATAAATTATGAAGATAAATGATATAAAATCAATTCGTATTGATAGTATCAGTTCTTTAAAAACTTTAGGTCCTTTAATCCTTCAAAGTGCCAATTACTTACTTACTTTCTTACTTACGCCTGTTACTCCTAATGAAGCATAGGCCGCCAATTATCATGAAAGTATTTCACTGATTAATTAGCATCATTTGTGGAACTTATCGAATTTGTTAACAGCTTCTATTCTGAACAGGGATTATCTAGGAGATCATTGAAGATGAAGACCACCAGATACATGTTCCATCTTGTCGTAATTGTTTAATAAGGTATGCCTATAATTATTTCACAATATTGCAAACAATATACTATACAATTATCGAGTTAAATTCCAGTGATTTTCATATTACAACAGTTGAATTCACGAACCAATCTAAGCTAGTCTATCATCAAAAACCTGAAAGCACTGAATGTCGTTTCGTTCTAGTCTGGGACTATTCAGCAGTGCTCATTCACGATCCTGTACACTTAATCTCTAGACCACTGAGTTGGCATCCAACGGCGTTAATGTCTAACTTCTCGTATCTACAAACTATTGCAACTTTCATTCAACGTATTGATAAATTAATTAATTATTTTCAAAAGTTTAGAAATACTCATAATAGAAATTCATTTGTTTTAATTTATTGTATATTTATTATTTTAAATAGTCAAATATTTATGGTTTATTCGGATGTGTTGATGAATTAACAATGAATAATGTTAGTATGTCTTTAAGAACTAGCAATCGTCCAGTTTGTTATGATTGTTTCAGTTTAAATCCAACAATTGTTCATATTCCAGAAAATATTGATGAATATTTAAAGTATAGTTTAATAAAATTACATAGTAAGTTAATAATTGTTTTAGTTACCAACTTTAAACTACTTTTATCATTGACAGTAGTATATATTTGTATTGCTATTTTCTAGGAATATTTTCAGATTTATTTTATGTATCAACTACTGAGATTCATGTGGTCAGTGTGACTGTAATTTATGAACGACTTTTGAGCGACCCTAAAGTGATCTTAAGAATGTCCGCCTACTGACTAGGGCTAAATGAGAGTTTTAAACCTGTATGAAGGATAAGGATTGTGATTTACAGATGATGATTACGGATAGGGATTAAATTTAGTGTTTTGAATACGACCTGATTAATTTATCTATAAATTACAGTATCACCATGTGGTCTTGTTAACTATGAGTGGAAGAATTGGGAGAAATATAGGAGCTGGTGTGCATTTAGTGTGGTTACATTCAAGTTGTATTTCTTTTCTGTTTATATTCATGATCAAATATTCATCTTCAGACTTTTCTGTAGAATAGTCTTAAGACTTAATGATTAGTACACTTGACATTTAGTCACAGAAGTCATTTAGTGCTGAATAAAGTATATAGCTTTAAGTTAATTGAATCAATTTGTATTTGAAAGATTGACAACTACATGAAGTAAGCACCGATGTTGTTGTGAATGACAATGAAAATTGTAGAAACAAATCGTAAGATTATTTCAGTTCAATCATATTTGACATGTGGCGATGGATGATGATTACCAAAACAAAATCAAAACAAAGAAGTGAACAATAACAGGTTTAACATCAACAAGAATCAATCAAGATCGAGGTCTACAAGACAAGATGTAAACCATATATAGAGAAATTTGAAGACTTTACTTCAACCGGAGGTTTGTGTTGATGATGTCGTGACTAAATCATCCAGATCACAGAACAAAACTACACCAAAATGATAGTTACTACTTAATTAAAGTTAATTAAACCAGTTACCTGAGTGAATACAAATAACATTGAATGAACATGAATCATTAACTATCTTCTATCAATTTTATTCTTTGATATTTTCTTTTACAGTACCAGATATGTTGACTCAACCGGGACATGATAAGTTAACATTTGATTTTAGTTTTTTTTATGATCGTAATACTATAAAACAAGCTAGTTTATTTGTATTAACATTTGGTGGAACAATTGATTTACCAACTGAAGAAATTCATTTATGGTTATTCCTTTCAAATAATGAAGTAAGTTCTAGTTCTAGTTTCATTCTATAATCTGATGTCTATAGTTTGTAATTTCATTCCTGTGTATATATTGATAACCTGAATATTTTACATTATTGGTAACCTATTATTGAATCAGATAGATTTTGTGGATATTATAGTAATTTCAATGGTTAAGATCATGAGTCAGTTAAAGCTAGACCATCATGGAAAAGCCGGAGGCACTGGACGACCGTTTCGTCCTATTGTGGGACTCCTCGGTAGTGCACATCCACGACCTCACCCCCTGCTAGATTCGAACCCAAGACCTACTGGTTTGGTGCGAGAGCACAACTACTAGACAACTGAGCCGGCATCCAATGGTGTTTATGTTTAACTTCAACTAATCCATGAAATTGAGCGACACATCCACCATTGTCTTCAGTGGGATAATATCTCACAACAGACCTGGTTGAACTCCACTGGTCTCTGCCTCTCACTAGAACTCCAGGATATACCTCTTGAAACCAGTCACTAGTGAGCATATGTTGCTTAATATCAGATGGGTTTTGTGGATATTATAGTAATTTCAATGGTTAAGATCATGAATCCTTGGTTTGTCTTTGGTTTTGTCTATTACTGTTAATACTTGCTTACCTACTTACTTACTTACACCTGTTACTCCCAATGGAGGAGAATAGGCCGCCAACCAGCATTCTCCAATCCACTCTGTCTTGTGGCTTCCTTTCTAATCCTATCCAATCGTTATTCATTCTTTTTATGTATGTCTCCATTTCTTTGGTCTTTCTCTCCTCCTTTGGCTTTGAGGATTCCATGTGGGGGCTTGCCTTGTGATTCAATTGGGTGCTTTCCTCAATATGTGCCTTATTCACTTCCAGTGCTTCTTCCTGAATTCTTTCTGGTTTGTTCTCTTCCACAATAGGTTGTTGCTGATGGTGTCTGACCAACGGATCTGAAGTATTTTACATAGACAATTGTTAGTAAACTTTTGTATCTTCTGAATGATGGTTTTGGTAGTTCTTCAAGTTTCTGCTCCATACAATAGAACTGTCTTGATATTTTTATTGAAAATTCTGACAAATAGAGGTTTGCTTTATTTGTGATTGTGATAGACTATGCACATTGTGGACTCATTAGCTTAATGTGCATTTATCTCAGTGGTGATATTCACATAAGGATTCAAATCTAGTACCCAATCGATCAGTATGGAGAAGTCTTAAAACAGAAAACCGAAGCTTTATAGGTATTAGCAATGGCATAATTCAGTGTCTGAAACTTAATCCTAATCCTAAAGACTATAGAAAAATATGATGTTAACTATGTTGTTTTCATAACCAGACTTAAGATTTGTAGCACACTGAATAACTAAAAGCTACAGCGAACAAGTCGCTTATAATTTTTACAGCTATTTTTATTAGATATGAGCTTATGAAAGATAATCCTGGTAGATTATCCTCTTTTTGAAGTTCAACAAGGATAATTCTAGAAGTTGAGTTCACAGTGGACTGAGTTTTTCACAAATAATGAAAGTTAATTCACTAGGTGACCAAGTATATCAATACTCGTTAGTATGATTCAAGACAGAAGTTCACTGTAAACATATTCTATAAATCCAAGATCCATTGAAGAAAACAACATACAAACATCAGTTGAATAGGATATTTTTCCGAAACATTTTGACAGTCTGTTTTTGTAAGATTCCCTTCATATTATCCTTTTCTGAAATTCATGTTCCTATTCAGTCACTCCGCCTGGAGTCCCTCTGGGGGCTACTGCCGGTCCCAAGCCCGTTTAAAGGAGGAGGGTCGGGCATAGGGTTAGCGACCCCATCCCGTAGAAAGCTAACTCGCTAAAAAGACGCTAACCAGAAAAATTTATTCAAACCTTTTAAACTCTGCCTTGGGAGTCAGAAGGTCTTCATTTAGGAGAACTATGACGCCTCATGATGAAAGCCGAATTCCTTCGAAAGTTACGAGGCCGATGCCCCTTCTGACAACCAGAGCAACCATTTATTTAGGTACATGGAATGTTCGAACAAGAATTGGATAGAGCTAGAAAAGAAGGCCCAGGACAGAGTGGGTGGGAGAAAGCTGGTCGGCGGCCTATGCTCCATTAGGAGTAACAGGCGAAAAGTGAAAAAGAAAGAAAAAAATTCAGTCACACCCTTAAAATACTAATGTAGTGAACAAGAATACGAATGGAGACAATCGAATGTATTTGAGTACAAGATTACAGAGCATGTCAATCAAATCTGAGAACCATATAGTAAATTGTTAATTTGCAAAATATCAATTCATCATCTCATACTTGACCATTCCTGTCGTAAACATCAATCTGTTGTCTCAGATTTCATTGTTTATGCGTTTTCATACCAATTGTGCTCCGTTCTGATTCTTTCCTTATCAATCTTCTACTGAAATACATTCTATGTCTGATCATCGTTATATACTACTTATGTGAATATAAGTAACTCACATCATACTACATAAACATCAAATTGATCAATATTAAGTGATTGATCATTTAAAAAGAACTCACTCATACAAGATGTCAATAAGTAACCTGAATAGTTTAATAATGACATATCACCGTCTATAACTAACTGATTCAAGTTTCAATTCCATAATAAACATTCATTCTTTAAAGATTACAGATATTCCTTGCTTATTAATGTCAACCAATATGAAATCGACATTAAATAGGGTTTGTTGTTAACCATCTTACATCATTCTCATTGTACTTTATATCATAGTACTTTCGTTGTTTGTTTTTGTTTGTTTTTTGGTTTCGAACTGATTTGATACTCCGTTTTTCTTTCTTTCTTTCTTTCTCAAATTCTTTATTATGTTCATTTATTCTATTTTATTAAAGGTTAAAATGGGTTATATCACAGAATCCAATAATGAATTAGAATTAAATCATGAAGTGAATTTGGCTAATATTGGACATAATCAAAATATATGGCATTATATTAAATTAGATATAACTTTCATTAATCGTAATTTATTATTTCAATTAAAATCTCAAACATCTATTAGTGATACATTAGCACCATTTATAAAAGCTAATCGACTTATATCAATACATCTTGGACGTAATACAAGTAAGTTATTGATTAGTCATTGATTTACTTATTTACCTATTTACTTAAGCCTGTTACTCCTTGTGGACGGGCATAGACTGCCCACTAGCACTCTCCATCCAACTTATATGTATATACCAGTATAGGGGTTGTGGAGATTATTAAGTTTTTGATTGAGATCATGAACCGATTGATGTTAAACCACCACAATTGAAAGTTTGGAAGCACTGGACGGCCGTTTCGTCCTATTGTGGGACTCCTCAGCAGTGCGCATCCATGATCCTGCACCCCGAGAGATTCGAACCCAGGACCTATAGGTCTCGCCCCAGGCGCTTAACCATTAGACCACTAAGCCGACCGGCATCTAATGGTGTTAAAATGTCTAACTTCAACCAATCCACGAAATTGCGCGATCAACTTCCGTTGTACTGAGGTAGATACCTGTCTCTACCCGACAAGGATTAGCTCCACTGGTCACGGCTTCTTACTAGAACTCCGAGAATTCCCTCACGAAGCTTGTCGGGTAGAGACAGGTATCTACCTCAGTACAACGGAAGTTGGTCGCGCAATTTCGTGGATTGGTTGATGTTAGAAACTATCACCATTGGATACCGGCTCAGTGGTTCAGTTGGTTAGGCGTTCGCGCGCGCGAGGCCGAAGGCCCTGGGTTCGGACCCCGCTCGCGGGATCGTGGATGCGCACTGCTGAGGATTCCCACAATAGGGCGAAACGGCCGTCCAGTGCTTCCAGGTTTTCAATTGTGGTGGTCTAACATCAATCGGTTCATAATCTCAATCAAAAACTTATATGTATATATATGTCTAGATAGTTGAGCTTTGTTATGCAAAGACCTTAGTGATTCAACTTCAACTGTGATTGTTTCAAATAGAAATCTTACTAATATTTATACTACTGCTATAAGTGAACAAGATGAATTTTCATATTGTTAATGTTAATCATTTGTTTTTGGTAGAAAAAGAAATGTATATAGAATATGAATCGTTGAGATTATGGGTTCATTGAAGGTAGACCACCATAGAAAACCTAGAAGCACTGAACGGTCGTTTTGTCTTATTGTAAGACTCTTTAGCAGTTAAGTGAGGTCAGTCAATCAGCTACAACATAGGATCATGTACATATTTGCATAGGTTCACGTTGTCATACCTCATTAACACAACAAGGTGAACATCAAATTCATAGAATTAGTTACTTCAATGACAGTAACACATAAAAGAAGGATAATAATACAGAAAGAAAGAATTAGTTCATATTCTGTGTAAGGTAAGATGGAGAGTGTATACACCGACAACATTATGATCGATTCTGAGCCATGTCACCCATTATCTCCAACCACTGGTTATGATAGTCACACGGATACCAAACTGATAATTCTTTATTACTTGATATAATAATTTTGGTTTCATTGACTGTAGACCTTTCATTCATTCATTCATTCATTTGAAGTGTATTATTAAACTGTACTTTTCTTTTTCAAATAAATCACATAGCAATAAATAAGTTTGATAAGACTTTTGGTTATAGACAGATATTTTTTAAAAAAAGAACCAGACAACTGTGACGACGGACCACCGGTGAACTCGAGGAAGCTGTAAGAGGCTCAGAAGGAGCCGAAGACATCCCATCCCCGTCGCCAATTGTTATGACTTTAAGTTGCACGTTACACGTTACAACAACAACATAATGAACACCTTATTTTATATTGTAGTTTGTGTCTCTTAGAAAATACGAATCGAAGGTATGACTAACCACCTACTACCTCAGAAGAGTGAAAATTCTTACAACCATTGAAATTGATAAGTCTTCCTAATTGAATGCTAGATTTGGTTCTTAAGCTCTTCGAGTAACCCTTAGGCTAGATCAACACAGCGACTTCAATACGAGAGAAAAGGTGCGAAATATGTACGAAACACCTTACTCTAAAGGTTTCGCTTGTGCAGAGAAAGTCTCGGGTTTTTATAGTATTTAAGATGTCTCTGGGTTTCCCGAAAATTCTGGAATGCTACTAAACATAATAACAGCATAAGTAATCAGTCAATCAAAAACTCGACATGTGACTTTTCACTTTCTTGTTGTTTCTGGCAAAACTTCTAGTGAACACTGATTAGATAAGATGCATCTCAGTATTTTCAGAGACTTTCTTGACTTTTTTTCGAGGAGTTTTCTGGATCTTCCGAACAGAAATACCTGTGAACTGATGAGTCGGAGTCTATTTATTCACATATACAACTTTTGTTAAGTTGTGAGTAATCCTCATTCATTATTACCAGTGATCACACTGTTATTGCTGACAAGATTGATGTTTTGCTTGTACGAAACCGTTGTCTAAATCACTTCTCTAATGACTATCTTTCTTTCATGAGATAACTAAATCTATTTCATATTTTAACTGTTTACTAAATTATCACCCCACAAAGAATAAAAGTCATGATTTATAGGTTTCATCCTTAAACCATCAAATTAGTATTCAATGATTTATATTTATAAACAAAATAGATTGAACAGACTTCAGAAATCTCTCATCTGGTGCTATAACTTGTGACCGCAGATTAATGTGCAATGACTTGTCGATCGGACCAAAGACGCGTAAAAGACGTGCGAACAGCCTATAGTCCTGATTGTTCTTGCTTGCTGCTTAGCCCAGCCAGTTAAGTTCAGAACACCAGTCTCAGCGTTTGCAATATGAATCATTATATTCCAAACATATTGGGTTTATGTACCAATCAAACAGACCACAACGTACCAATAAAATATGAAACAACATCTGTACAGGAATTAGCCATATGTGGTTGTGAATGAAGGAGGTAGTAATTAATATACTGGGTATAACTCAAGAATGGTAAAACGTATAATAATAGTTTATGGGTCAAAATAAAGTTTATAATAAGAGGAATATGAATATGAATAGTTTAGTTACTGAATAATTACACAATAGAAATATACGTTTAGTATTGGTCCATAAATGGATTCCAAAAGTTACCATTCATCATGTTTCTCGGGTCCTAACATCTTGATAATCATTATGTAGTAAAAAAAGTGATTATCTTCAAGAGAATTACTCAACGTTTTGAAAACAATATTGTTATTATTTGAGTTCAATGATTTTTTGACATATGATCTATGGTAACAAACAATAGATTCTAATTGATTAAAGTTAGAAATATGAACTAATCGATAATAACTTGATGGTATCTATCAGTGAATATACTCATTGAAAATCTGGTAGATCTTGAATTCGACTGATGATAAGATCATAAGTTCATGATCTTGAAAGTTCTCACATTGATATGAGATGATAGAACTGTAGGATGGTTCTTGATATTCTGCTTTTCAATGACTAGTGTTAATCCTTCATGTAAACTATAGACAGAATAGAATGTTATATATATATATATATGGGGCGGCCAGACCAAAACATGGCACAAGTCCATTAAGTCATTGACAAGTGGACTGAGCCATGTTGGTAGGTGTAGACTACCTGGTTGGGGACTGCGAAACGATAACAACCAATGGTTAGAGATCCTGAATGACATGGCTCAAAATCGTTTGCAATGATGCAGGTGTCGGTCCACTTTTTGTGTTCTCCTAAATTCTAATCTTCTCAATTCTTCATATCCGTGTTTTCCTCTTTCCAAATATATTTCACTGTATTATACTCCTTAAATAACATCTCCAAACCCTAATCTTTCCAATTACTGCTTATACTTTTACTACCTCTGCCACTACGGGATTTGAATGGACAACTGGATCTTTGTGCTAATGTAATATGGCAACTCGAAGTGATGTACGCATGTACAAAGTTCTACGTTGTTATATATATATATATATATGCTTATACACATTGATGTAATAATGAATGTGTTTTATATTTTCCCTCATTTCATCTTTTACAGTTTTAACATCTGATAAAATGAAACAATCTGTTTATAATTATCATGGTGAAATGTTCAAAGGTTGTATACGTAGTCTTCATTTATCCACATCAACAGAAATACGTAATATTAATTTACCAGAAGATTTACCTGGTTTCTTATATGGATTATGTCATACCTCATTAGTTTGGTAACAACAACAACAACAACAACAACAACAACACTGTTCAACACAATTCAGTAATATTTGATTATGTAATTTGGTTTTTCATTTAAATCATTCGTTATCTTAATATATCCCTTTTTTGTTTGTTTTTTCCCATGATTTGATCAATGTTACCATGAGTTTAATCAAATGAATTCTATATATCGATGTAATGAGAATTTAGATGGTTATAATAGTTTAACTCAGATTAAACTATCTTCTTAGTTAAGTGATTCAGATCTTTATTACATAAACTAAACTATCGTTTATTATTGATAATTTGTTTAATTAAATTCTAACTGGATAATGTTTACCTAAGCAACAATTAGAAATTATGGTAGTCGGTATTCCATATCATCCTTAAACTTCGTATACAGTTCGTCTTGTTAACCATCATTAGATAACGCCCCCAACGGTATATTAATCAGAAGGTGAATACGAAGTGTTGATTATGTTTATGATGGGACCACACTTAGAGATATCCCAAATTACAGGTGCGTTAAACAAGTATAGAAGAGTTGTGCCGGAAGGCAAGCAGGTAAGCGAGCGAGCGAGTGAGTGAGTCAACGAATATGGGTACGAGTAAGCGAGTACAATTAAGGGAGAGAGCAATGAACATGAATAACATGGACATATATATACATAGTGAAATGAATGAATCATCAAATCAATTAAGCAGTTAATAGTAAGGCTAGCAGCGTAGGCAGTAAGCAATGCTCAAGCATACATGTTCATACATTCACAACAATAATAAAGATACAATGATATAGATGACAAGTTCTAACTTGGAATCCTGAAGGAAGGCGGAAAAAAGGAAGGCCAAAGAACACATTACGTCGGGAAATAGAATCAGATATGGAAAGGATGAATAACAACTGAAAGGAGCTGGAAAGGATTGCGCAGGACAGGGTTGGATGGCGAATGCTGGTGAGTGGCCTATGCTCCTTTACGAGGAGTAACAGGCGTAAGTAAGTAAGTAATGATATAGGTAAGTTGTTGTTGTACGGATGACTCAGTTCGTTAATAAGTTAACAAAATTATTTCACCGAATTAAATGTGAACCAACTCAGTTGCGCGTGAGTTGCGATAAAATCTTCAACTTTTATGAATCACTTAAACGAGAAGTACTCAATTTTTTATTATGTACTTGAGAATAGTAAATAACTTCCAAGGGTGACAAGTAACATTTTGCATAATAAGTTAACTAGTTATTGATGAGGATAATTTAGGGTCCACTATGTCATAGTAGTCACTAGTCTAATAAATTCTTTGTAATGAACTTGGGTTAGATGGTGGTTGGAGATAGTCAACAGAAAACTCTGTACCCGGGTTTCGTGCTACTTGGCACTCGTCAGCAAGGTATACCCGTAATCTTGAGGGAAGTGGTGCTTCCTGACGGATTCGACCCCATGTCACTTAGCTTCACAGTCAGAGACGTTACCACTGAGCTATCATGGTCGACAGCATTTGATCTGCACTAATAAGGACTTGACATACATGACATTGGTTACCATCCAGTGATCAATCAATTGTTATGAACTTGGGTAATCATGTTAGATATTCTAGGGATTTGATGTTAACTTGTTAATATTCTCAATACATTATGCTAATTGATATAGTCTCATGATAGTTTCTCAATGTTTCACTATTACTAATTGAACTTAATGCTAGACTGTCGTAATAGCTTGACTGAATGACTTGCTACCCGAAAGTTGATTGATCAAGATCTACCAAAAACTGAACATACAATTTTCATGTGGGTTTTCTATTGATTTCGATGGTAAGGGGATGATTAATCGAGTGAAAATAGAATATCTCATCGATAATTGGTGATTCTTTTCAAGTAACCAGAAGAGTTCTTAAGATTAACCAAATGATATTTTGTAGATTCTATCTATTTGACTAATTTTCAGAACATAAATGTAAAGTTATGTGGATAAGTTACAAGATTCTCGATGGTATTGATTGATGATGAATTGCTTAAGAATGTTATCTGCACTCTTATAGTATAAAGAGGTGTTACTGTAAAATGTTCGTAGATAAGTGATGAGTCTAGTACGCTGGAAGCTTTAAATATTGACTTCTGAAACATTTCTCAGACTCCGGAACACTTCAACATTCTAGCTTCAAACTAAACATAGCTATAAAATATAAGCGATGGTTAAATTCAAAGTCTAGTTTAAGTTATCAGTCAATCAGTCAGCTACAACATAGGACCAGGTACATATATGCATCAGTCCAACTTGCCATACCGCATTAGCACAGCAAGATGAATACCGGATTCATAGAAGTAGTTACTTCAATGGTTGTAATTTATAAAAGAAAGATTGCAATAAGGAAATAGTACAGGAAGAAAGAATTAGTTCATAGAAAGAAAGATATAAAGCAGTTTTAATCTCTCAGTTTAAGGGAAGACAGAAAGTGTATACACCGACGCCATTGTGATCGATTCTGAGCCGTTTCACCCACTGTCTCTAACCATTGTTTACGATAGTCACTCGAACCCCAACCAAGTAGTCTGCATCTACTGACATGGCTCAGACTAGAAGTTAGTGACTCCAAGCACTGTTGCCACGTTTTGGTTTAGCCGCCCCAACTTTCTTCCAACCATCCCCAACACCAGTTAGCATTGCACGTCATTATCGATCAAGTGTGACAAAACAGAGCTGCTTACTGTCTCGATGATACTTTTTTTTAACCACGAAAAGTGGTATTCACTAACTCATTGGCTCAATTCCCACTATAGCTTTCTCCACATGAACATCTGAAGTCGTAGATGCTTATAGATGTGGTAGAACCAGGTAACTTATCCTTTAATTGAGGAATCATCCTAGATCGGATTGAGCACAATGGATAGAGGTTAGCTGCATTAAACATTCTGCTAACTGTTCTAGATAACAAAAAAAACGAACACAGAAATCTCAAAAGTGTTGAAATAAGTTCTTAGACTTGGTGAAACATTTGGTAATTGTTCAACCAGATAATGAAAAGAGATTCAAATCGATCTCAATTCATTTCAAACAACCTTTTTTTAAAGAAATAACACTCCATTGAATGTTGACATGATCAAGAAAACTATACACGGCGTATATACAAATTTTGAAAAACCGCTATAATAGTCTTATTATTTTGTATCATCAACTAACTCTTCAGAGTTAGGAGTCTCACAATAAGACGAAACGGCAGTCCAGTAATTCCAGGTTTTCCATGATGGTCTAGTTTCAATGGACTCATGACTATTCAATTTATGAAAATATTCATTTAGAAGGAAGGAGAGAAAATTTTCAAATTGGGCAGTAAAATTAAATCAATCATATAATAATAATGAGATAGTTAAGAAGAATTGTAACTCTTGTGAATGAATTAAGTGTACTTTACCTCTTTAAGTAGAATAATTTGGTTATGCAGCTTTTATTGTTATGATGAAAAACTTCGGATGCAACATAAGTATTGGAATTTCGTCATATATGAGTCATAGATTATCCCATAGACCTCATATATGATTGATGATTGTTGACCTTTAACCTACTAATATCAACCTCTCTCACATTGAACTCATTCATGGTCTTAAATTTGTTTATGATATTTCTGAATGGCTGAATGATTTGATAGATTTCCATAAAATTGATGACTACAGAAAGACTGAAACGACAACCTGATAATAATATACTACTGTTCTCGGTATTCATAACATGAAAATATCAGAAAATTTCCAATTTGATAGTATACATCAAAAAATATTCGAGAAGAAAGGTCAGAAAGACTAACCCCATAATAAAAAAATATACAATAACAGACAAAAAAAATGAGACAGTGAAAAGTTGTAAGTAGGATAATCACAACAAAATCATTAACAATAGTCATAATATATCGGAAGAAAGCGGAACAAATACAACAAGGAGATAGATGAATAATTCTGAAATGACTGACCGACTAACAGGCTGGCTGATTAACTGACTGACTGACTGACTGACTGACTGACTGACTGTCTGAGTGCTCGACTAGGTGATTGTGAGCGGATACACTTTCATATATAACAGTCACAGAATCAGCATGCAACATGTCAGTACAAGAGCGTTACACACAAATATACTGCAACATCGACACAAACACCACACATCACTGCATTCTAATTATTTTGGCATTTGTTCGTGAGATTTTAATGATCGCCTTATTCAATGTGTGCATTTCAACTGATCGCAGACTGGAACTGGTGTTGACGCTGTGACGTTGTGTGATTCAGTGAACTTGTCGACTGAGAGGCAGTCATTTGTTTGTTGTCTGTGCGACAACCATTGACTACTGCTCAAGTGGTGGTTGTCAGAGTGTGTATGTGTGTGTGAGAGATTGAGAGAGTGAGAGAGTGGGTGAGTGACTGAGTGAGTGAGTGATTGAGTACGTGAGGAGAACGGTGAATGTGTGTGTGTGTGTGTGTGTTGATACATCTGTTACAGTGTGTGTTTGGTAGCGATGATGAGTTAAGTTGTAGGTTAGGACGGTGTATGAGTGTCGCTCCGACAAGACACATAGCGAAAGCGAATCATTAGTAGAGACTGTAGGTGGATGACGCGGATGCGGTGGACCGACCTAGAGGAATGTGGACTTACAGCGAGTCGGTGTGCGCCGACTGATCGGACCCTCCGCTCCTATTCCATGCACCAGACAGAAGCAGTCAGTGATCTATCTGTCGATTGATACTGACGTGCAGTAGATGTGGAGTGGTTCGGTGAGATTCGGAATTTCGTATATCCACAAAATCCTCACCCACGGCGGGACTCGAACCCGCAATCTTCTACTTAGGAGGCAGACGCCTTATCCATTAGGCCACGCGGGCGCATGTATACACGCTCACATACACCTCGTCCAACACAACACCCAACTCCGACAAACATAAACACATACACATAACGCACAATCGTCACCTACTCTACTATCTCACAAACATATACCACAGTAACACAACTATCACACATATCATACAATTACACA